CCTTCTCCAGCACTGATGGAGTCAAACTAATCCAGGCCTCCTCCCCATGCCTCTGCTTGCCCATACTAGATTTACCCACCCCCACTGCTGCTACCATCCAGATTAGGTCAGTGTCTGGGGTTATTGTTAGGGACCAATTCTGTGATCCCCACTGTGCTTTATGTTGGACATATGAGGCAGAAGAAGTAGTCATTTATTCCTTGGTTATGTTTAAGAGTTTACTAGAGCAATTCTGGCTAAAAAAATAAGAACTTAACCTTGAAAGGGGTTTACAACAGTTGAGTGGACGTACTTTGCATTCAAGGGATAGTGAGTTACAAGAACATTCCAGATCAAATTTGGGAGGTGAGTCCTAGAGAGCTGTCCTCCATTTAGCTCTGGGTCATGCATTAAATGTACTTGTAAATGAGTGGCATTTCATGACCACCTTTCTTTTAACAGCTTTCATTTCCTCCCCATGACTACACCCCCTAAGTAGCTGTCTTTCATTTTTTGCTTCATTTGCAGGTAAGCAATCATCCTCTAAAAATAGCCACTTCAGGTGGTTAGAAAATAAGCACAAAAGCCATTTGAAAAGTCAGTTTATCGTCTTCTTTCTAGAATGATTTTGCAAGCTCCTGGCTCCACAGGAGGTATGCTAGAAGTGAACAAGGATTAACATGGGTTGATGATTGCCCTGTTCTGGGAGTCAAAAAAGCAAAACTCATTGGTTAGCTGCCACAAAGGAGTTCACACTACACCAGCCACTCTGCTGCACTGCTAGGCCCTGGGGGCTGCAGCTAGTCTGTGGAAGAAGAAAGCTATTGAAGGATAAAGCTCTTTTGGAACTCCTTCACATGGATATGCACATCAACCCCATACTTTCAGCTTTTCACCTTACTGTGTGACTTCAGGAAAATAAGTTCACTTCTCTGAGCCTTCAGTTTCTCATCTGCAAAGTGGTGTTAATAATAATCACTATTTCACAAGGTTAAGAAACTTGGTTGTATGTTGGTAAACTGTAAAGTCCAAACAGATACACATTGTAGTCGCCATTGTCATTTCCAGAGGAGACAGAATCACAGCTAAAAGAACAGAAAGTTGCTAAGTCTTTCATCATTAGGATTGAAAACATATGATTTTTACTTCTGACACATAGCTAAGTATACCTAACTATAAGTAGCTATATCTAACTTAAGATAAAGCTGAGGCCATATGCCTCTCCAACATCCCAAATTTTTTAAACACAACACTGTACAAAGGTTAATCCCATTGGGGATCTATTATAATATAAATATCAACATAAAAATATCATCTTTAAAAATATATGCCAAAATCTTAATTGCTATTATCTCTTGGAAATGGTATTTCATGAGATTTTTAGTAATTATCTTGTTTGCCTGCACTTCCATTTTCCACATTATCTTCTGAGAAAATAATAGTAAACTATTCCTAAAGCTCTAACACTGAAATCTGCCTCTAAAGTCATTAAAGGAGAAGGCAGTGAGCATTTCTATCATAGAGTCAAATGGTTCTGACGTGACTCAGATCACTCCACAGGTGAGTGGTGGAACCAGGTACCAATTCACCTGCCCCATTTATTCGTTCTATTGATGATCAATGAAATAAATAATTAAAATTGAGAACAGGTTTGTGGTAGAATTCACATGCCATGTCAGTAAAAGTCTAAATAGATTTTTACTGTCACAGAAGACAGTTTATTTGGAAAAAAATAGATTGTATGGTTGATTTTTCAAATGCAATTACTAACAGATGGAAAATGATCAATAAAAATGCACACACAAATGAAAAGACATCTAGTCATATATAGAAATCTTCATAAAAAAAGATGAGAAGAAAAAATAAATAAATCATGGCATAATAATAAAACTGGAACACTGGCACCAGTAAAAGACACATAAAAAAAATTCTTGTTAGCATGGGGAGGGGAAAAGTTTTCTTATGGTGTTGCTCTTAACAAGGATATTTCTGTATGCTTGAATATTTTGCAAGACTATATTCATATGTCACCTGTAAATTTAAAATATACATGTATACTGTATGAACTCTTCATTCATACTGAAAAGGGATAAAAAAATAATCCTACAATGTAAAAATATTTTTTAAAAAGTAATTTTAAAAAGTTGCTAAACCCTGAGAATAAGGAAAATGAAAGATATACTGCTTAAAGAGAATTTTATTTAGTAATGTTTTCATAATACAAAATAGGCAAATAATTGATCATTTAAATTTAGAAGTGTGCAAGGAATTTTTAATTCATTGAATTGATTGGATTTATTCTTAAATAATATTACATTGCCTTATCAATAGACTGAAATCTGGCTAGCTACAAGATCCTGGAAACTGGTAAGAAGGATGACAGGAATATTAATTTTAAGGAAAACCTCGTACCAGAAGTGATTGGAGAGAATGTTTTTAAAGTGTCACCTTACAGGGTCTAGAGTATTTAAAGAGATAAATGGTTCCCATTTCCAAATCTAATTAGTTTATAATCTATAGATGTCTTTCAAGATATAAAGAGTAATAAGTCTGACCATACCAAACTTTTATTTAAATCCTTCCTCCTAATTCTAGAACATAATTATCAAGAACAGTAATACCGATTTAGATGAGAAAAGACATTCCCCATTTGTATTGAGAGGAACTGGGGTAGGTAGTAGAATGTACTGGAGTGGATAGAATGGATAAAAGAGAAGCTATCTTGATGGTTTTGAATTTTTATACAATCACACAAGGCAACTTCAACCTAGTCTTTTAGATACCCATATAAATTTAAAAAAACAAGCCACAAGAATCCAAATTTCACAAAGAACACAAAAGTATAGAAAGTTACACTTTAAAAAATGGGATCATTCACTTAGAGCTGGCATTGAAGAAAATGAGCTAAGTTTGGGACTCACTAGAGAAAGTGAAGTAGTTTGAAAGTGTTCTCAAAGTTGAATTTAGTGTTTGATGTCAAGGCCCGACAGAATGCAACATTCCTGCTTATCTGTACTCATGTTCCATACACATGATATTGAAATTGTTGCACCAATCACTGAGAGGTGTCTATGAAATGCAAAATGTGTATAGAATGCTAACTCTAAAATCACCAATTGTATAAATGTTATTTTACATTAAATATAAAAACTAATGTAATAAATGACCAATTTATTTCGATTATAATTTTGAAAATAAGATCACTGGCACTTTGGTACTTTCATCACATACTTATGTGATCGAAGTTCCCAGTCATATATTAAAATTCATTTTTAAATCATCAAATTTTACAATTGGTACATACGTTGAATATTTTGAGAAAATAAGTTTTGTTCAAAGGTGTCAAATTTCATTTTAAAAAGCAGTGATATTGACATGTTTCATAAATAAAAGTTTGATGCTGCCGAAGTTTAAACTTCATTTTTTTTTAAGAATATGTTTTTTTTCTCTTAAAATGTGTAATAATGGTTGTTTTGGAACACCTCTCAGATACCTTTGTGTGTGTTCATATTCCACATTTGATCAATCCAAGTGTATTTCAATAATGTTCAAGGGTACTTAGTCCTATGCCTGTACATTATGTAAAGAAGTACTTTATGTAAAGTATCTGCACATACAGAGATCAAAAGAGGAAAAAGCATATACAGTACATATGTTTAAATTGATTTATTTGTATTTATGTTAATATATAACTTTAACTCTACATAAATTCTTTTTTTCATCAAATTATAGCCATATGCTTTCTACTTCTTGATGGTCCTCTTTTTATCTACTTCTCTCCAAGCTATGACTCCCTACCCTGGTTACATGCATGTGTGGGCACACACACTCATGCATGTATGCCTTTACTTCATAAATTTAGAGATGCTTGCCACTTGATTCAAAAAGGCATATTGTAAGAAGTGTTAGCATGAGTAATTGTGAATTTCCCTTTAATACTTGCTTTCGTATGCCTTTACTTCATAAATTTAGAGATGCTTGCCACTTGATTCAAAAAGGCATATTGTAAGTGTTAGCATGAGTAATTGTGAATTTCCCTTTAATACTTGCTTTCAAAGATGCCTGTCTACTGCATGTCATAGACTTACTTTTGAATTGTTTAGGACCAGTTAACATAAAACCATTTTGAAATAACATTGATTTAGGTGAAAGAGTCCAATAAGTTTATTTAAAAGAAAGGGACAAGAAAAAGTCCTAAAATACCTTTTTTGGTTACAATACTTAAAGCATGATCCTTTCAGCATATATTGTCAAGCTATGTATTGTTATTCAATTATAAAAGGTTATTCATGAGTAAAATAAGTTTTTGTCAATAATTTTACCCAAAACTGTTTTTTCTATCATTCACATAAAGCTTACATAAAGCCCTGCAACATAACTTTTGTTTTAAAATCCGAAGATAAATTTTTGAAAAAATCATACATTAAGAAAAAATTATGTTTATTCATTTTCTACTTCTGCCATTTACTTTTGCTATTTTAATTCCACATGCAAGGCATACATGAAATAGATTACATTAAGATTTTTAATGCACTCTTTCTATAAAATGTAGTGGGCTAGGCATAGAAATAAGGAGTTTTCACTTAAAATAAATTGTACTATGTCTTTTGTCTATTAAGGTCATAGGAAAAAGAACTGAAAGACAGGAAGCAAATGGGAAAGATGAAGATCAATTTGCATAAAGAACATGAGGACCTTTTTTTCTTTCAGTTTCAAAATATAAGCAAACAAATTTGACAATGCATTCATTCCTGTAGGCAAAAACACATTGTGTATATGCTATTTAAATAAGGATTAATTATAAAGTAAACATCATGAAAAGTGCATTGTCATTTTCTAATGCAGGATTTTCTTAATCTGCATTGGCTTCTTTTGTAAAACGACTCATTCCACAGAGCAATGCTGTTGGAAAAACTGATTTTTTGTCACACTGCTTGCCAAGTATTTTGAACTGACACCAGCATTGACTAATGATAGTGCTGGAATGTGCTGTTCTCAGTAGAATGGAGGCCTGTACAGACCTAGGAGTATCCTGGGGTCCAGCTTCTGTCCATCCAGGGGGTTGGTGCCATACAACAGTGAGTGATGTTCAGAATGAACAAGCTGTATTTCCTCCAGGCTGGCTTTTCGACCTTGAATTCGCTGAAAGAAAACAGCAGAAGCCTACAGTACTCCACTGACAACATTTAGAAGAAAATGAGACCCCAAGTCACGTTTAAGATGATTAATAATGGGCTGAGTTTCATCATGCAAGAATGTGACACTGATTTGCTTAGTAAAGAACCATAATAATATTTGAAAAATGAGCATGTGCAAGGTTCAGATCCAATGGATTGCTTATGCATAAACAGGCAATTGACATAAAGCATATTCTACTTTAGCATAAAAAATAAATCAATAACAAATAAATTAATAGTTCACACTTTTATTAATGTATCACCTTAAGAACAAACAGAGGCTGAGAAACACATTTATTACAATCTATTTTACACTCACCTGAAGAAGTTGGAATGGATTTCTTATTCTTTCTTGAAGGACATAAGGAAACACCACTATATTTTAATGTATTTGATTATCACAAACATGTTAATCACTTCAAGTTTGTGCACCTCACAGTAGTGTCAATCTAGATCAATGATACACAAAGTATGACCCATGTAATCAAGAACAGTTAGGGGAATCTGCTTATCAATGGTCTACAATGAGGTCAATACAGAAATTTGGAGTAAATAATTAGAAACCTTTATGGAAATTTATTTTTTATGTTTTCTGAATCGAATATAACCTTGTATGTCTTCAATCTTTATTTCACTTTTGCAGTATTTCATATTTAATGCATTTTATAAAAGTATATTAGTCTGTGACAAATTGGAAATTAAACAAAATCAAAAACTTCTGTTTAACCAGAGTTAGCTTGAGACACTCTAGACTCAGGCAATTTTTTACACACAGGGTAGGCAGAGATTTTCACTCCATCTAACAAAGAATGGTCCTTCAACATAAATAAAACTAGATTAAGTTAAACCTCAATTAGCCAATATGCAAAGTGTCCGTACTGGCCACATTTCTCATTTGGAACATCTCTGAGCTCGATAAACACCATGCTGGTGTATGAAGTTAATTACCCTTAACTTTTGGAAATTGCTGTGCTTCCTAAAATTACACAGAGTATTAATATTTCACTTAAATATATATACCACCACAAGGCAGTTGTAAGGTAATATTTAAGTACAGAACTACAGTGAGAATCTGGTTAGGGAAAGCTGTCCTCCCATGTTTCTGACCACGGAACCACCAGTTGACTTGGAAACATCAGATAACAACACCAGCTCTCTCAGGACCAGGACAATTTCATATCCGACCTCCCTAGTTTAAGGTGATAGGCTGCTGTCAAACTCTTCAGTGCTGATGTGTGGTTCACTGAGGGGGCAGGCTGGGAAAACTTCGATACACTGACACTTCCTCAGGGTGTACTGGAGCAGGAGGCAGAGCTGTGCTTGTCACTGAAAATAAATGATCAGGTCACAGTGCGGGAGGAATGATGGGGACTACTGGGGTAACAGGAAGGGAGTGATATAAAGCAGAATCTCCTTAAGACTGCCTTTATGTGTTACATAAACAAATACTTCTGGAATTTTTTTGCTGTACATAGCATTGAAGATCCCTATTTTTGACACTATCATTCAGCATTGTGAATGTACAATTACCAATTTACGTTTCTAGAAAGATAAAAATATGCTTTCGAGAAATTATTTCCAGATAGGTAAGGTGAGAATTCTAATGTTGAAAACTAAGGCAAATTTAGTGATGGCCTTCTGGTCACCCATCACACTGATCAATAAACAAGCCTCTTCTTGAACCAGGTGGCTTACTGGTAAACATTAAATTTGGAAAAGTTTATGGAAGACCAGAGCAACCAAAGACGTAGAATGAAAATTAAAGAGATAAAATGAGCAAGAGGAAGTTCAAAGCCAATATTAAAGGGAAATATTTTAACTGTGAGATTTCAGCGGGTGGAAAATCCCCCAAGATAAATAGTGGTAACTCCATGGTTTGAGTCATCTAAAACTGGAATGAGCAGAGCACTGGAAAACAGGCCATGGCAACCAGTCCTAGTCTGGCAGGATAAAGAATACTATGAAATAACAGGGCTTGCAGCTCTCATTTCTATGAGCCTATGAAATCCACAGCCCCTAACAGCATATGTGATGATACAGTGAAACACTAATATCTCAAACAATGGCAGTTCTATAGTTATAAATCAGATCTATGTTTTCACTACTATCTTAAACCTGCATCAATTTTTTATCCCTTTCTCCTTTTCTATAAAGATTTTTTCAGCTCTACATTGAATGTTTGCCTCTGTTATAACATTAAATACCATTAATAATAAATTGATCTTTATGTTTTTATACACTCGTCATATATATATTCGCACATCATACACTCTGTACTTGGCTCAACTCTTTTTCTTATTCTCCCACAATCCCACCAGCATTCCAGCTCAATGCTCAATCACACATTTGGACAATAATCTGCTAACAAGATTCACTGTAATTGACAGTAGCTGAAGTGCTGGTAAATCATTAGAGGACACCTATTGAATCTCAGTCATCCTCTTGTGTAATATAAGTCAACTAACAGTAAGAATAAAGCATCTGGTCCAGCTAGCTACCATTTACTCATTCTAAGAGTATTCCCTTCTAGTTTATATCCTAATCCCTCTCCTTCACCATCAAAATATACTAAACTCATCAGTTTTCGCTTTGTTTTCTCTTTTTTTCCTTCTTTTTGACTTTCAGCAAGTATTTCACACTGGCTCTATTTATTATTATAATAAATATTTCTTTAAAAATAATTGCACTAAATATAAGGAAGTACTCATTCTTGACAATCGCCTTTTGCTTCTATGTCTGCTACAGAATAGGCTCCACAAACATAGCGCACATTTTTCTACAGAAAGTCAACAGTGAAGACTAACTCAGTACAAAAAAATGTTTCCTCCTGTAGAAAGTATCTGGAGAAAGCGTGGTATGAGATTTGCATCTCACAGAGGCACTGCTCTAGGAACTTGGCGGATGACTGAACTAACCATTCTGAAACAGCAACAGCTTTTGTAATTTCTTAACACATATGATCCCCTAGAATAGTTCCTTTGTACCTTACTTTTACTAGATGCCTTAAATTTGTCACATTCAACTTTTCCTCTCATATTGAAATCTCCAACAGTTCCCATTTTCCAGTACTATCATCAGTAAGTTAGTATTTTATTTGTTTATTCTTAAATATAGATATTCTCATCTAATCCATTCCCATCTTTTCTATTTCCTGTGTACCCTTTATTCCTTCATTTCTCTCTAAAGATGCTCCCTTGAGTCAAAGGTCAATAGCATAATGAGTCACAAAATAGGATAAAGTGCTCCAAAAATCTTAATTTAGGGAGATACTGATTTCCGTTCTCACAGATGCTTGGTCTGCAGGATGTCTATGTAAAATTGTCTATGATATTCTGACCAAAAAGATTTCTAAGCATATCGAGGTACTCAGTGCATATAAGGATGAAGTTCGTCCAAGAATTTCCCACTTGAGATCCAAATATTAGTCTTAAATATCTTACCAATATAGGCCTAGGAATTAAAGCATATAGCTTTTCTTCTATCTTCTTAGTAAAGAAACTCTGTGATGCAGAATTATGTTCACTATTACTTTATCATTCTCTGTGACTTGCACTCAGTTTCTTCCCTGAGAGTAGAAAAGGAACTAATGCTCACTGAGTGCCTACTATGTGCTTAGATATATGATCGTATTTTGTTCAGAGCCCCGAATAGTCTACATTCAGGTTGGAAGTTTGATTAAAGTCATTTAAAATGACCATATCATTGAGTCTCGCAACACACCATGGTTCTTTCCTAAAGAAATAGTATTTCTGAAATAAAGCCCGTTAATACAACCCGATTATGGAAGGAATGTTCTCAACATGATCTACAAAGTCTTACTATGACAGGATAAAATGCAGTCTACCCACACCCACCCACACACAGAGCACACACACGGTATAGATTCCTATTTTTTTCTGCCAAGGAGCAGGGGAAAAAAGGAAACAGTTCTATTCCTTCCCCTCCTGTGTTCAAAGCCTGGATTGAGGCCAGTGTCCTAATCAGTTCTCATTGGCCCTGGAGGAATCAGAACCTTTTGTAAAATATAATAAAGGGCATAAAATCATGATAAAATGCATGAAAAAAGCAGTGCCTTTGGTTAGGGAACTAGAAATAATTTAGCAGAACAGATGGATTGCATTGGTTTGGTATTATTGAGGACATGAAAGGGCTCATTTTGTGGCAGTTCCAAACTACAAGAAAATGTCCAACTTAAATTTGACAAGTCAAAGTACCTGCCTCCACTGGGGGAGACTCCATTTTCTTTAATCATTTTCAAAGTGGTGACATATTAGGCAAGAATTTCCACTGAAATATCTAATTTTCTGAAAATATTTCTTCCTTTGTCCCTAAATATAGGGATGTGTTTTTATTTTTTTCTCTGAAAATCCATAGAGCCGCAGACTTTCAGAGTTAAAAAATAATAATCATAAATGACTTATTTGTGTCAAAGTTAAACTCTGTCACAAATACACACTTAATATTTAAAGAGTCAGTTAATAGTATATTAATTATTCTTGATACACATTTCTCTCAAAAACAAACAGAAATCTGGTTTTGTTGCTCAGGCTCAAGCATACTTACTAGAGTTTTCAATGCTACAATGAATTGCTTCTTTAAATGGTACATAAAAGATGATTTTTAAACTCCCCCCTCCCAACTGCATAATCTCCTTCTGTATAGCTCTCATCATATAATAACCTGTTCTCCAAAGAGCATTTCTCGTAAAGAAGGGGGAGTGAAGAAAAGAAGGCGGCTATTAACCAGGCAGGTAGCCTAGCAGGTTTTTGATCCCTTCTGTTGGTCACATAGGAAGAAAGAAAATTGCAAGATGGGAGCCCAGAATTCTAATCCTGACTCTCATATGTCCATAATGTGCCTCCATCCAGCTATGAGACATTTCTACAGGCCTTTGTTTCTTCATCTATAAACATAAGAAGATTTGACTAAATTATTCTGAAGCTCCCTTTGAACCCTAAAATGGTA